GCACCGGAAAAAAAAAAAAAAAAAAAAAAAAAAAAAAATATAGGTGGAAGAGGGGCCACCATTGTACTCAGTGAGATGTGAGGTTCTTTGCTCAGGGAAGGAGGAAACTGAACAATTTTGATAACGTAGAGAGCAGTGATTCTGTAGCAGGTTATTTTTGCTATTCCTTGTCTTGCTTAACAGACTAAGCAGGTTGAATTATGCAAAGTAGCAATAACAGTGTTTGTGAGAAGAATGTGAGTTTCGATCACAGTCACTATGGATATGATTCACTGGGGAGGCAGCTTAGCACTGTGATAGGCTCTGGAGTCTTAGTGTCTAAGATCAAATTCTATTTCTATCAATTACTAATTTTGGTGACCTTGAACCTTGGTTCCTGTGCCTTAGTTTTCTCATCAGTAAAATAAAAGTAATAATGTTACCTATTTCATAAAATTGTGAGAATTAAATGGGTTAATGTATAAAGTACTCAGTAAATGTTTGCGCTCATTATCATCTGAGTCAACTGCTCACCTCATTTAGTGCTTTAATTAATTAGGTATGATTTTAAACTGTGATATTACTTTCCTGCTCAACAGTGGATCTAGGGGAACTTCTTTGAGCTTTGAATCTGTCTGTTGCCTGTGACCAAACTAAACTGAAGACATTTCTAGAGTCTAGAATGAAGAACTGTATTTGCTCTCTTCTTTTCCATAGGTTGTTTTCTGCATGGATCGTGCCCTAGAATTTGCCCCTGCCTGCCATCGCTTCAAAATCCTCAAAGCAGAGTGTTTAGCAATGTTGGGTCGTTATCCAGAAGCACAATCTGTGGCCAGGTATGTAATCAAGCCAGTTTAGCATTGAATTGCCAGACACTACTGGACTTATGCTGTCTGACTGCTTTTTAGAACAGGAGCTAGCTACTATGTTGTCTATGGGTAGGCCAGCTAGGGCTACCAAAATTCCTGGGTCTTAAAGCCAAAATTTAGACCAGATTTGAAAACCCACAGGGTATATAGGAGTATTGTAGTACAGTAGGTACGTGAGCTATATATGAAAGAACAAATTATGTTACATGAGTTTTTTGGTTGTTTTTTTTTCCCCAGTGTAGTCCTTTTCCTTCTACTCCAGGGGTTGGCAAAACTTTGTAAAGGGCCAGATAGTAAATATTTCAGCCTTTGCAGGCCATAGGGTCTTTGCTCACCTCTGCCGTTGTAGTGCAAGAGCAGCCATTGATAACAGATGAATGAATATGGGTTTGGCTGTGTTTTAATAAAATGTTATTTGCAAAAACCAGTGGCAGAAAGGATTTGGCCCTGTGGGCTATAGTTTGCCAACCCCTATTCTAATATCATAAGGAGTGTGCAATACAAGAAGTGTTTCAAAGATAAATATAGGTAGATTGTTTTGGGAAGGTTTAAGAAGAGTTTTTAGGAATCTGTCTACCTTTGGATACTTCTAATATTAGACACATGGTCAAGGAAAAACCTGGCCACAAATGGTAGTGATGGTGGGGACATTCCAAACCATAGCTGAATATGCCTTTTCTGGCTATTGCAGTGATATATTACGAATGGATTCCACCAATGCAGATGCTCTGTATGTACGAGGTCTTTGCCTTTATTATGAAGATTGTATTGAGAAGGCGGTTCAGTTTTTTGTACAGGCTCTCAGGATGGCTCCCGATCATGAGAAGGCCTGCATTGCTTGCAGAGTAAGTTCTAAGCACCAGATCTGAATGGGAAAGAAAGTTTTCTTCTTGGGCCTTTAAGATGATTAGAGTGGAAGGTTTTAGAATTACAGAAGATGTGATAGCTCCTCTTCCTGCTTTGTAAGGATCCTTGGTCCTTACATTAGAAATTATTTTAGGATGACTTTTACTTATCTAAAGGTAAATATGATCATATAGGGTCAGATCCTTTTAATACCTAAGTGGGTTTTTTTTTTTTTTTTTTTTCTTTTCTTTTTTCTCCTCAGTGAAGAAAAGATAGTAATGCTTGTCTTGGAGAGTAGAGGCAAACCCGTGGTACCACAGGGCTTATTTCGGTTTTCTTCTGTAAATCTTGGTTTCCCCATCCACTCTCTAGGAAGCATCAGTGAGCAACAAATAGCCCAGGGGGTGTGGTGGGGGAATTGTGTGATGCTAACCCACTGGAATTAAAGAGACTGAAAATGTGAGGGTACTTCAGAAAGCTCATAAGAGGCTGGCTGGTAGAACGCAGTGTCACAACACCAAGGTCAAGGGTACAGATACCTCTACTGGCAGCTGCCCCCACCAAGAAACAAAAAACAACTCAGAAAAAGCTTTGTGTTATCTTTTAATTCCATTTTCCCACCAACTTTGTGAAGTGCCCTTATAGACTCAGGCCTCTGTGTATAGTCGTCTCATACTCTCTGGACGCGAGCTCACCTCCCCTTGCTTTTCTCTGTAGAATGCCAAAGCACTTAAAGCAAAGAAAGAAGATGGGAATAAAGCATTTAAGGAAGGAAATTACAAGCTAGCATATGAACTGTACACAGAAGCCCTGGGGATAGACCCCAATAATATAAAAACAAATGCTAAGCTCTACTGTAATCGGGGTACGGTTAACGCCAAGGTAAGCACTCGGTCTGGGTCTTGGAGCCTATGGAGATATTTTAAGGGAACTTAAAGAGGTCTTGGGAAATCTGCCCAATGAGGGTAAACCAGATGAAAAAGGAAAAATTGTTTTGATTAATATCTCAGCTTGTTAGGAACTACCTTCTGAGAGGCAAGCTTTTATCTTTTCTATGGAATTCAGGGGCACTTGAGGGATAATTTAGAAGGATATTCCTACCAGTTCTTTCTCAAAGTCTCTTTCCTCTAGTAAGAGAATGGCTAGAGGATTTGGGGTAATTTTAAGAAAGAATTGTTGCCTTTTCTTTTTTTTAAGTGATTTGGAGGAAATTAGAGTATGAGGCAGGGTTAATTTTTTTCTCTTCTATAACTGATGGTTACCGTGCATGGATGAAAGTGACCTGAGTGCCCCTGTATCCCTACACATCATGAGAAACAGAGTAGGCTCCTTGTCCTTGTGGAGTCCTAGTAGTCAAAAATCACAGTAATTCCAGTATCTCTAATCAGCCTTTGGAAGATGGGAGGGCAGGAACCACCCTTACTGTTTCCATGTTGTGGTTGGGCACTAACATGGAGTGGTAGAGGCAGTTTATCCTTGCAGATAAATGTGTGTGGCTTACATCGTATAGAAAAGAAACCAGTTTAAAATTTGGTACCCTTAGCCCTCTGAGACACTGGCATTCCCAGTGACCAAGAATAAGAACCTAGTGTGACAGGGGCCAGCAAGACTGATTTTCTTAGAATTTTGAAGTTGTGTGCACAGCTTCTGGGCTCCCTTAATCACCAAAGATGTGAAGTATGACTGTTCTCTCTCTCCTGAAGCTTAGGAAACTAGATGATGCAATAGAAGACTGCACAAATGCAGTGAAGCTCGATGACACTTATATAAAAGCCTACTTGAGAAGAGCCCAGTGGTAAGTACCTCTGGCGGGTAGGGGGAAGGGGGAGTTGCTGCTGGCCTACCAGGGGAAATGCATTGTGGATGATGAAGCAGACCCAGGGATGTCGTGAGGTCATTTGGTCCTTCCCCCTGCCTCTAGGTGGGATTGTTCCAGCCCTAGACTATCTTTATAGACCTCCAGCGGAGGAGATTGCACAAGCTCCCTCAGTCTCCCATGCCTGTGTAACACCCCTCACGGTCAGTAAGTTTCCTCTGATGTCTGACCCAAATTCCTTTTGTTAAAGTTTAAATCCATTTCCTTTGGAGATTTTATTTTGTGTTGTACACTTTTGCTCTAACTTGGCACAGTGCTTGGCACATAGGTGCTCACTCAGTAAATGTTTTATTGAATGAATGGATGGTGCTTGGAAGATGAAGAAATAAAGTATTTCTTGGAGACAGTTGAGAGTTGTTCTTAGCCTGATTGTCTTGGTCAAGGGAAGACAGTCTTATGGTTAGAAGGGATTTAAGCTGGCTCAGCCTCCCAGTAGTGTAATGTACTCCCTTTTGGAATATCCTGGATGGGTAGTCTGTGCATGTGTGTTTTGAGCAGAGGGACTCCCTGTCTGACAAGATGACTTATGAGCCAAAATAGGCCTACCTCTAGTGGCCAGATTGGCTCCCGAGTCACGGTGCTCCGCAGCACACATAGTCCTCTCACTCTTGGACCCACCAGATGATTTTCTTCAGACAGGAACATTAACACGGGCTGGGAGAGACCTCTCTCAGGTATCCATCTCTTCTTATTTCAGATTATTCCCCAGGCAGAGAGGAAATTCCTGTCTTTAAAATTCCTAAAGGAAAACGTATTTGTTTTATACCTGTCCTCCAACACCTGCTCGATTCCTTATTATGAAATGTCATACCCAAAGAACAGTTGCTGTTACTGATGCCTGATGAGCTCGTAGTTTAAGCTACCCCGTCTCATAAGTCTGTCCAACAGAAACATACGTGGAATTACAGAGATTCCGTGAGACGAACCATCAGTCATTCCATCTTTGCAAACCACTGGCAGACAAAAGTAGAAGCTTTGGAGGACAGAAGAGTACCCTTTGACCCATCTAAAGACTTAAACAGACTCAAAATGCTTGAAGGTGTTTCCTGCAGTTTTATCTATAATACTAAAAAGGACAATCACCTAAATATCTAGCAGGAAGGGGGTGGCTCCCCTTCATGAACATGAACGTGTCATTTCAGATGCGTGGTACTGCATCAACTCCATGGAATACTGTGTAGCGTTTGAACGGAATGAGAGGAGAACTGAAAATTCTTGATTTCTTAGGAGGATAATAGGATGGAGGATTCCTCTCTTCGTGTGTGCACAATAAACAAAAATCAGTAATTGCTTTGATCAGACATCTCCTTATCTTTGTGGGAGAAACAGTGCTTCCACCTCTAAGATCCCACTACTGGGGGACAGCATGCCCTGTTTAGCACAGTTGGCTGAGTACTTGACAGCAGTCCCCTCAAGCAGCTGGGACTGACAAGAAGTACTGGAGATTAGCTCTGGGCAAAGCTTTACTAGAGGCCTAACTACTGCCCCAGTCTGCCTCAGCTTACCCTGGAAGTTGGAGAGATGCCAGTTCTTTGCTACATCTCCCTTCATCAGCTAGGGTTCTCCCTTTTTCCTTAACACCCTACTTTTCTTTTTCTTCAACTTTTTAAAACATTTAAAATGTAAGGATATCCTTGAATTTTATAAAGTGTGAAGTAAAAATGCAAATCTCTGTAGCATAGCTTATTTACTACATTGCATATGGGCCTGGAAATGTCATCAGCGTCACTTGTTTGTCAGATCATTCTTCACCCAGGGAAGGGCTCTCAGTTATCAATTTTGTTTTACTTGTACTTCAAATTATATTACATTTTATTCTGTAAATAGTAACATTTGTGCCCTGTGTCTGCTGGGCATTGGTTTTTTAAAGTCATAATGAGGATGTTGCCAGAAAACCAGAGATGCCTAAGATATTGGGCTTTTCTTTGGCCAGCCACACTGGTAGCTCTCTCCCTGCCCTGGCCTCCATAGCTGGTGGGGGTCTGTGATGGTTGCAAAGATGGACAGTGTGGTAGCAGTGTAACAAACTGAATCTCTGTTGTACAGCAGCTAGCTGCTGTGTGGTCACTTCCCATTCCCCAGCTGATGGTGTCTGTCTCTGTCTCTAGAACCCCAACCACAGTCTGTTTAATTGGTAGGTCAGTCTTGGTGCCAGTGATCTTATCAGGACACAGAAAAATGCCACTTGCTTCTGTGGAAGAGACACACTTAAAAGGTCTGGCAGTCAGCCTGTTAAGCTAGATTCCTCCCAGGGGAAAACCTTTCTTTTGCACTACCAAAATAGAAGCAAACCAGTGTTTAGAGTCTCCTTTTCTATCTCATTTACCTATGAGTACATCTCTCAGATCGACTGGTCTTAATGGAAGCACTTGCCAGCAGCCACCACCTTGAACTTGATCCTTCTAGTGGCTTACATTAATCCCACTTCTACTCTGGGTTAGAGCTAGCCCTGCATGTTTATGGCACTGTAGGTTTCAAAGCTCTTTCATATCCATTTATCTCACTTGATAATCTTTCTCTTGTGTGTTTGAATCCCAAGTAATCAAGTAAGTGCCTTCACCTTACCTTTCCTAAGGCAGTCCAGATGCCTCTTGAGTGGCTCTGTGTCAGAAGGAACTTTTTCTGCTTGGTTGCTTTCCATTCAGAGCGGAGCATCACTTTTGCTGGTTGGGCACAAGTGCCACTAGGCCTGTGTCTTTTCTTCCTTCAGGAACTGATAGCTAATTTTCTCTCGTTGCTAGGTTCAGGGATCCTGTTTCATAAAGCATCTTTCCAAAAGTGTGTGTCTCTTGCTTGAGCCATGCCTCTTCCCCTAGAGTGATACCAAAGACCACTGCTATTATGTCTGAGTCCTGTATTGCCCTATATTTCCTTCTCAGTTACATGGACACAGAACAGTATGACGAAGCAGTGCGGGACTATGAGAAAGTGTATCAGACGGAGAAAACAAAAGGTAAAGGAGCTTGAGAGCATTTGTTTCCCAGAGAACTGTGTGGTCTTACTTGTAGGCCCTAAAGCTGGACACAGAGTAGTTTGATTCAGGCATCAGGGATGTACCTTGGGCTTATCTGTTCACCAGCTGGGAGGAAGTGGACAGAGATCCTGGACTGGGGGCACGAGGCACCTGTTTTCTAGTCCCAAATCCTCCTTGTCACTTCTACTTCCTTTTCTGTGTGATGAGGTTAATGTGAGAAACCTAAGTATTTAGAGTAAATTTTTTTAAATCTCCAGAAGAAAGCACCATAAAAGCCCCTAACATGGTTAACAAGGCTTCTAACTCCTAGGCAGCTAGGCTGAGACCCAGCAAGGGAAACCAGAATCAGATTTGTCTACTGATGTCAGATGTTTCCCTCTAGAACACAAACAGCTTCTGAAAAATGCACAGCTGGAGCTGAAGAAGAGTAAGAGGAAAGATTACTACAAGATTCTGGGAGTGGACAAGAACGCCTCTGAGGATGAGATCAAGAAAGCTTACCGGAAACGGGCCTTGATGCACCATCCAGGTAGAGCTGGTGGGGGAGTCTCAGTGGGAAGAACCCGTAAGGCAGGGCCACTGCCAACCTCAGTCCGGTGTGGAAGCCTTGGAGAGGTTCGTCAGCTGGGAATAAGGTGTTGCTGAGTTCTATACCCTCTACGTTTTGGGAAATAACCAGATTCCAAAATCAGACATAAAGTGGTTTTTCTCTTAAACTTTGTTTTCTTGAGACTCTGATTTCATTCTTACACTCCTCTGTTTAGATCGGCACAGTGGAGCCAGTGCCGAGGTTCAGAAGGAAGAGGAGAAAAAGTTCAAGGAAGTCGGAGAGGCCTTTACCATCCTCTCTGATCCCAAGAAAAAGACTCGCTATGACAGTGGACAGGACCTGGATGAGGAGGGCATGAATATGGGTGGTGAGTTGGTTGGGGCAGCCTGGGATGAATCCAATGTCTGTGAAATGTTCTAAAGATACTCCACAGGGAGAGTCTGTACGTAATCAGCCTGTGACACACAGTGATTTGTAAAGCATTCCCTTGATGAATACCTGTAATGTGTGAGGCACCATGTTGGCTGATGGAGAAAACAAGGATAAATCAAATAGGCTCCCTAGCCTTCAGAAATCCACAGTCCAGGTGTTTGCAAGTTCCAGCCCATAGGCCAGATTTGATCTCTGGTCTAAACAGAATAACAGACATGGAGTCAAATAAATGCAGTCAAGTAGAGCAGGTTTGAGGGCTGGCCGGTTAGCTCCCTTGGCTAGAGCATGATGCTGATGACTAAGAAAATCTACTGGAATTTCAAATAAGAATGATGATGATTACACAATAATCCTGAATCTTCTCCAGTTCAGGGCAGGGGTGTGAGTGAGTTCACCGATAAGAAACATATTGCTCTGCTCAGCAGTTGAGAAGAACTATCAGCAGCCGAGAGCTATTGGAGAGTTTTAAGTAGAGGCACTAGGGACCAGAGTTAGGCTCCAGAAAGATATGTGTGATGGCAGTGAAGAGAAGAGAGGGGATGATGGAGGAGAGGAATGGGAGGAGGATACAGTAGGCAGGACAGGACTGGAGGGCGCAAGTGGAGATAGTGGTAGACTCAGCAGGAATTGGCTGTTGATCGTGTGTGTTGGGGAGAGGGAAAGGACGAAGTTGAGAGCGGCTCTGACATAGCTGACTCGTGGGGCCATTCACCGAGCCAGGGGACCCGGGCAGATGAGCAGATATCCTGGCACTTCTGGACATGATGTGGCTGTGGGATCTGCTGGTGGAAATCAGTCCGTCTGTGCAGCTTAGGAAGTCAGTTGGGGCTGGGGCCATCAGACCTGCTGTGGCCTAGTGAAAAGAGCACAGCTCTAGAGTCGTATAGGAGCTGGAATTTCCAGTTCTGCTGTTTTTACTGGCCATGTGATCTTAAGCAAAGTTACTTGAACTTGCTATGTATGTTTTGTTGAATCTAAATTGGGAATATGACTTACCCTGACAAATAGTTACTAGGGATTAAATGATATAATGTATGCAAAGTCCCAGCACCATGATTTAGCACCTAGTAGGTGCTTAATAAACCTAGCTTTTTTTTCTGACATACAGTTTAAACAGACTAATAGAACAGAATCAAAGAGACACAGTAAATCATAGATCTTGTTCTCATATTTATTTTCGGTGTATCTAAGTGATAAACTTTAGCCTTTTCAGTAGCTGCCCCAGCATTATAGGGAGATAGAACGTGTAAGTCTTGTATCAGTAAGTGCAAATGGCATTCCCAGTTGTTGAGAGGACAGACCAGCAAAGCTGGGTGAGGCAGAGAAAGCTTTCCTTTTGGACGACACTTGGAAGGAAAAGGGAACATATCCTTTAGAAGTGGGATCACAGGGTGGGGCAGATTTGCTCACCTCTAGTCTGCAGTGTGGGGAAAGGAGAGGAGTGATACTGTCTGGGAAAGCTCTGGAGACCCCTTATCAGTGTCATAAGTTCCTCTTCTAACACTTCTAATTTTTTTTCACCTTTTTGTTCCTTCCATGTTACTCTCACTGCTCCACAGATTTTGATGCAAACAATATCTTCAAGGCATTTTTTGGCAGTCCTGGGAGCTTCAGCTTTGAAGGTGGGTACACCTGCTGTTCTTGGGAGTTCTCAGATCATAAGGTGACTCCCCACCTACGCAGCTCTTTGGGAGTCAGAATGAGTGGGGGCATCTGTCCCCTCAGCTGTTGCTGAGCAGGAGGGGAGGTTCCCAGGCACACCTTGCCTTGGGACCATTAGCATGGCATCTCTGCAGGGTCAGGGAGGCGTCTCTAATGCCTAGTAGCTCGGCTTCTCTGCAAGAGCGAAGATGTCCAGAAGCTATATACGTTTAATGTACTCATGTGCTCCCTCTCGTACCCCAGCACCCAGACTGTTTGACACCCTGAGAGTTTCTTTCTTTGTACTTGAGTTTGAAGCAGCCCTCGAAGTCTTCTCAATGATCAGAGCAGTCACCTTCCCTAGAAAATCCAGGGCTAGCTAACAAGCCCTTCTTTTCCCTTTCAGCATCTGGTCCGGGAAATTTCTTTTTTCAGTTTGGCTAATGAACGGCAACCACCCAGAACACAGAAATGCACTCACTCAGTTGAACCTTGAATGTGGACACAGTTCACCTCCTCCCTTCATCATGTCTTCGTGTACTTGGAGCAGTTTCATTTTCTCAGTTGGATACCCCATGTCTGTGTGAGTGGGGTGAAGGAGAGGGAGCCAGTGCCGAAGACTGTGGGAAGGGATGGGAGGTTGGGGGGTGAACAGGGAGGCAGCCTGTGAATTTTTGTTTTACTGTTTAACTTTATTAAAAAAGAAAAAAAAGAAGAGAATAAAATGTTTTGACCCTTTCTGGCCCTCTGCTCTGGCAGCTGCTTTCTGTCACTTCAGAGTCAGTGGGGCCAGCGCTGAGTCCCCAGCATGGAACTGATCCCAGCGTGGACTTAGGTTCAGCAAGCTGCCACAGGAGGAGCGCGGGCGTGCCGCCGAGCCGAGCCTGGGGACGGCGGGGGGCCGGCGGCCTCTCCCAAGCCTGTTCACACAGCGAGTGAGTGCTGAGCATTCGGTGGTGGGGATGCAAGTTCAGAAGGCAGGACTGGTTGCCAACGTGGGCTTGAAGGAGATGGAGATGAGGGTGAAATCCTGCCTCCTGGCCCTTTCAATTGAACAAGCAGCTCCAGAGCCTGGGGCTGGTCACTGACATTCAGCTCATATGGTTGGAAACACCATTCTTAGCAAATGCCCCTTGCCTTCTTCACTGGTTTCCCTTTCTACATCCGGGGCAAGCCGGGGAAGGAAGCAGTCGCATGTGTCATGCTGCTCAGTCAGCTTAGTGTTCTTGTAAGTAACCATCTTAGGAGTTCTGGGCAGACACTTGAGGCTTTGGCTGAAGCCGCAGTGTAGATCTGTGGTGCTTTGGTAATAGAGATGACCCAGGGAAGGCCTTGAACCAGAAAGACAGTTCCTGCCCCTTTCTTTCCAGTCTTCACCCTTTGGTGCCTGGGCTGTGGTGAAATGACTGTTAGGCCCAGGAAGTTTCCCATGTGGCTGTCTAGGCTCCTGTTGGCCTGGAAGGGACTCCTGAATGCTACCTCTTTCCTTGTGTTTGAGTAGCACTGTCCTGGAGGTAGCCTTTCCTAGAGAACTGGAGAAAACCTATACTAGGAACTTGGGGTCTTGCTGAGAAATCTTTCTGGTCCGATTGAGCTGGGGACACCTGTGGCCTCTTGCCCTGGTTAATGGGGGGGCGAGAGGCTTTGTGCTCCACATCCTTCATTCCCAACCAGCCCCCACCTCCTACATGAGTGTAAGGCCAGCCTCTCTCCTTTCTGCCTCTTCATGAAAGCCAACACTGTTCAGCTGCCCAACCTCACCACAGCTGTACCCAGCCAGCAGAGGGGAGACAGGACCGATGGCCCCAGGCTGTGAGACAAAGCCAGTCCTAATACACCCAGCCCTAGCCTTAGGGAAGACCGAGCTGGGCACAGGAGGGTGAGAGAGACTGCACACGGCTAGGATTAACATGATTTATTTCATTATCAGTCTTACAAGTTGCTAAGATTGGGCAAAGCCAGGATAGTAACTTAAATCTCAAGCACTTCCATTGACTGACAACCTGATTAGCAAGGCCCTGTTACTGAGCAGAGGGCAGTGGAGGGCACCCCAGGAACCATAACACATGTAGCAGTGTTAAAAGTCCCTTCCCAGAGGCAACAGGTGGGACTTGGTCCTTACCAGCTAGGGGTCTACTCCATCAGCTCTTAGTACCCACCAACCCCCTTTAGAGGAGGCCCAGAGGCCTCCAGAGGCACCATGGAGGCAAGATGGGCTGGGCAGACAGCAAGACGGGAGCTTCCCCACCAACATGCTGTCTCTGGCCTTGATCTCCCCATGCTCACAAGAGAGCCCCACCACTGGACAGGATGGCCAGCCCGTCCCCGTCCTGGAGTGAGACCAGTAGCCAGCCTGGCATGTGGCTGTTGTTTATTCTGTTTTCTTCCCTGGTTATCAAACTATTACCTAGTTACGGTGCGAAGGAGGGGACAGGAACCTAGGACTGAAGGTGGGAGGTAAACCCCTTTTGTCTGTGCTGGTAAATAGCCCCGGCCTTCCTGAGGCTAATACTGATTAAGAAACGGGAAAAAAGCCCAAGGACCCTCCCCTCCCACAGCTGCCGCTAGTTTTCCCTAGCTGTGGTTACGAGCCCAGCCTCATTACCTTTGCCTTCAGTCAGCTGGCTTTATGCAGCTCTGAGGTCTCTCTCCACTGGCCCACCCCTGGCCAGAGCAGTGGGCCTGGGCCTGCCAGTACCTGGGGGCACAGCAGAGCTTGGAGTTCTGGCTGCAGCTCCAGGCTCAGGTTCCTGAATGGTGCCTACCTACTCCCCCTGTGTTGAGAGCTTGAGTATCAGAGGGGAAGAGGGCAGGCAGGAAGGGAAGGGCAGTTATTTTACAAGTTTTCAAAAAGTTACAGGTTAGATTAACTTTGAGTAAAAAAAAAAAAGATCTTAAAGCACAGGTCAAACGGAGGGTGTTTCCCTGTTCTCCCCTTCCCTTCTAAAGAGCAAGGGGCTGCGCTGCTGAGAACACTCATATGATGGTGCAGGACTGCAGGGCACCCCCCTTCCGGCTGCCGTGCGTGGGCACAGCTTTGCCTTTCCCGTAGTATCCCGTGAAGATAGCCCTGACCTCCATCTTCTTGGCCAGACTCAGCATCCAGCGCCCATTGCCCAAGGAGTAGAGCTTGCCCCGGCTTAGCTCACCTACCTCCTCGCCTCGGTTGCCCCCCTTCTCCTGCCATATAATCTCTAAGAGGTCAATGCCTGTCTGCACAGCCTCCACGTCAGCTGCACAGCCAAGGGTGATGTGAGCACGGCTTCCCCGGGGCAGGCTTTCAGTGAGGGACAGCTTGTCCACGTCATTGGGCCACAACAGCAGCTCCTGCTCACTCAACTCCACCCGGGCCCCAGTTGTCTTGGGTGTCACAAAGAGGGCAGAGATGGTCAGCGTGAAGGCCTTGCAGTAAGATTTCTTCACCACCTAGGGAGAGTGAGAAATAGGGGTCTGAGCTAGAGGTAGTGGCCTCTCAAAAGGGACAAGCTGACCAAGGGTGGGCCACTCCTGGAGGAGAGAAGGGTAAGTATAACAGAAGTGAGCGCAGCTGAACAGAAGTCTTACAAAGGCACATCATCTGCAATCGCCTGCAGCATGCAGCCTTGCCCCTAGCTCAGGCTGAAGTGAGAAAGGCAGGATGGAAGGGGTGCCAGACTTGCTGAGCTCTTCATCTAGCTCCCTTCCTAGCTGCAAGGGTGCTGAGCAAGTGCTCTAAGCTCGCTGTCTTGGTTTATTCACCTGTAAGGTGGAAATAATACTAGAACCTACCTCTGAATTAACATGAAGGCTGACGGAGTGACCGGGTGAAGAGCTTAGAACAGGGTCAAGCACACAGCAAGGGCTATTGTTACCGCTACTCGGCTCACCCCAGGACCCAGGCAACACCCTGGAGGGCAGGGTGAGATCAGACATGCCCTGGGTCAAAATCCTCTCTGTACACTTTGGTTTACATCTCATTATATATCTGGTTTTACCTGATTCTTTGAGAAAACCCATCTCTCCCATCTGACCATAAAAGCTTCTCATGGGATTTTTGCTCACAATCCCTTGTCCCAACAGTGTCTGGCATGTAATAGTTGCTTAATAAATACTGCTAAGTGAATGAATGGTTAGAGATGGTAGTGACACGTGTTACACATTCATTCAACTATGCTATGGTGCTGGGAACACATGGGTGACAAAACTAAAAACTCCTCACCCTCGGGGAGCTCCTGTTCAAGTGGGAGGAGACCAATGAACAAACAAGTAAAATGCCTGCATAAATCCAGACAGAGAAGGGGAGGATGCGGGGACAGGCAGAGAAGGCCTTGCTGAGAAGGTCACACTGAAGGAGGTCACAGCCTGGGCCAGGCAGACCTGGGCAATACTCTTGTGTCTGAAGATGTGGTGGAGGGTTCCAGCTGTGTGGTGGGGAAGGGGCTGGCCTAAGCCAATAAACTTCACTGTCCTATGGCACTCTCTCACTTGGGGAAGGCCGGGCCTCTGATCTGGGACAGGAACTTCAGTGCATCAGGCTCCCTGGAGGCAAGTGATTCCTAGCCTTTGGGACTTAATGCTGGCCCAGAGAGGCCAGAACAGGAGCCTACTGCCAACCAGCATCCTCCATGAATCTGCAGAAGGCAAAAGCATTGGCGGGCCGGCCTTGGGGATGAATGCACAGGCATGCGGGACTGCCTGGGAGGGCTCCTCAAAATGGGCAACTGAGGTCTACATGACTAGGCCTGGGGACAGGAGAACTGGAGGAGATGCCATTTTTCTTGAGCTGCTGTCTAGTTTTTGGTCCCCGCCTGGCATTGACAGCCATATCCAGAAGCCACTGCAGCCCCTTGCCCTCCCCACTTCCATCAGTGTCCCTGGGGAGAACTCACATCCTGCTGGGCGTACTCATCTGCCCCAGTGGCCTTCCCGTAGTCACAGAACTTGGTTGTGCAGTGCAGCACACTTGGGGGTCTCTTCCCAAAGTAGGTGACCAGTTCAATCTTCTCCCTGGGCTCATCCCCAGAGACAACTGCAGGGAGAAAGATGGGCAGTCAGGGCAGGGGGCAGGGGCACACTAACACCTACCACCAAGACCACAGGGTCCCAGAGGAAAGAAACTCAGACATTAAGCATAAATTCTTAAACAGTCCACTACAATTCATTCATTCGTTAGCTGGTCAAACTCATGGCCACTTTAGAGCTATCAAAAATGTTTGAATTCCCTGGCTTAACATTGTGTAGATCTTTGCATCTCTTCCCCAAACTCTTAAGGCATTTGTAACCAGGGGAAGGTAGGACAGGCCCACGGAACCTGAAATTTACCAGCATTACATCTAAAAGGGGAAAGCAAGTCATAGAAACGGGAGTGGAAAGGAAAAAGAGGGTTGGGAACAGTGTAATACAGTGGAAAGAGCCAGTAAGAACAGTGTCTCAACCCTGCCACTTACTAGCCATTTGCCCTGGGGCAAGTGATTGATCCTTATCTGTATCCAGTACAACAATTAGGGTGACCATATACCCCAGTTTTCCCAGGACCACCCAGGTAACTATTAGCACCGCATTTCACTCAGGGCCCATCTGGACCAGAAATTACATGGTCCCCATAATAATACACACCTTGCAGGCTTGTTTGGTGGATGAGAGCCTATGAAAGGTCTTGGAATATAAAGGGATAACATTATGTGGCTGGTGGACCTGAGGAGGTGTGGCGTATAAGTGATTTCACTTTCCAGATTCCAAGCCTTGTGGCTATCTTCAGAGTCACTAGCGTTTTCCTGTTTTTCCGAGTTGAGACTCTGCAAGGATGTCTTTCACCCTCCACAGAGCAGGAAGATCTCTACTCTGAGAGTAGGACTTGTTCTTGTCCCATTATATTTCTCCTGCTGTATACTGGGCAGAAAAGGATTCCAGGGGTTTTTTTGCGGGGGGAGGGGGGGGCAGTGGGGTGCAGCTGGCTGGTACAGGGACTCAACGCTGGACCTTGGTGCTTTCAGCACCATGCTCTAACCAACTGAGCTAGCCCAGCCCAGATTCCAGTTTCAAATGGTGAAAGCAGCTTCAGGTGGCAGTGACTCCCCAAGGCAGAGCCACCAGCTGTTGGGTGCTTTTCCCTCAGGCTATTCACAGGTACAGGGCTAGCTCTAGGCCAGTGTCTCTGCAGGCCCTACAGTTCCCTGCAGAGCTCCAGCTTTAGGAGCTGAGAAACAAGTTCTGTTGTTTCTCAACAGAGAAAGGCACAAATTACCTGCCTCTGAGCAATACAAGATGATATAAAGAAACATGAGTGGGACGTTTCAAGTATAATCTAAAATTCAGGGGGAACCAGAAATGGCTTACAGGCATAGAGGGATTAATGGGGGTGACATTTCCCTAATAGGTCACTGCAGGAGAAGAACCACCAGAACCCTTCCTTATCCCAAACCTCCCCTATCAGTACAGCAAGGAGCTCTTGCCAGGAGAGAACCCTTCTACAGTAAACAGAGTCCAGGGCTCCAGCCTGCAATCCCACATGCCTTCAGGGCCTGTTTTCCCACCTGGTTTTGGGGGGACTAGATGTGAGACTTTCCCACCAAGCAGGGGGTTTGGGACTAGATGTGTGACTCCTTCTCTGGAGCCACGGATGTCACAGGCACTGGATAGCCCAAGGCCTGAGACCCATTCCCAGTGAAGTCACAACAGTCCTAGTTTTAATTTTTTTGCAGCTTAGGATTCTGTGTAATATTTCATTTTGGAACATGGTTCTACTTCTAAAAATGAATTTGAGAACACTGGGTCAAATTCTCCCTCTAAGGTTATATGATATGGTGACAAGTTTCCTGTTATGACAGTAATTTGTTTTTCCTACCTCCAAGACAGGGACAGTGGTCTAATCCAGGCTGGGAGAGGGGCGGTGAGGAGAAGGGTGGAAGGAAAGATGCAGGCTTGTCTGAAACTCTCCTAAACTTTCACTTTCCTCTAGTTGGAGCTGCAGCCTCAAGGATCACCCACTGCTGCCACCTCTGAAAGGAAACTGTGTTGGAAGTGCACGCAAGGGAGGGCCCGGTGCCTGTAGTTCTGGGACTGGCCCTAACTTATATATTCTAGGCAACTATTAAGGACATCTTTGGAGATGGGGGGTCTCTATGTCTGGGCAAAGTCACAGCTGCCCTGGCTCTGAGTGTGCAGAGGAGGGTGGGGGTGGAGAAGGGTTACCCAAAGACTGCCTCCCTTCCCCCAACAATGGCAGCAACAGATAATACTCTCTTGTCTGGGATGGGGGGACAATGATCCCACACAAGGGCTGGTAGGGGGCAGGGGAGCACTGGACAAAGGGCTTCATTCACCAGCCTGCCACCTCCTCCTCTGCCATCTCCCAGCCCCCACAAAGTCGTGGTCTTTGTGCCTGCCCCAGGACTGGGCGACATAGGGTACCTGCGTTCAGGGTCTAGCTCTGCCTAACACTTTGCTGTGTGTCGGCAGCACCTCTCTGAGCCACTTGTTTTCCTGTCTGCTAAAAGCCACAAGTGACGACAGTTTCTACTGTAAACTGTCTTCTCCTCTGTACTGGCTCGGCCTCCCGTCAGCACCCTGAGAGTTTAGCGGGCAAGTGGTTTTATCAAACAGGACCCTGGGCAGGGGAAGGCGAGGAATGGCTGCCCCAGCGCGGTGTCCTAAGCAGCCCTGGCCCAGGCCCACCCGCCAGCTGGATGTCCCCAGGCAGCAGCAGCAGCTTCTGTAGTTCCCGAGTCCCTTTCTCATAAACGCCGCCGTTTTCCTCCTCCAGCGGCCGCACCCCTTCAACCAAGTCTCCCCGCTTCCCCCCTACCTTAGGGCTGCACTGGAACACGGAGAAGGCTCAAACTCAGGTCCGGAACCCCGGATCTCATTTGCATGCCACTTCCTCCCGAAAAGCCCTACATACTCTTGTTTTCCATTGTGGTGACCAGCCCCGGTCTCCCCTGCCCCTCCCGGCCTCCACGCGTCCACTCACCATGATGAGGACGGGGCGCCGCCGTCGCCGCCTTTGCAGGAACTAGCTCTCCGGGGCCGCCCGCCTGCGCGGAGGGACACGGGAGTCTAGTGTAGCGCGACCCCAAGCCGGGCCTCTTTACATAGCTCGGGGGCGGATCGCGCGCGTGGGCGGGCCCGGCCCCTCTGCGCAGGCGCCGCCCGTCGAAACTCGAAAGTGCCACCTGGCGGTGGGGGACCGCGGGGCCGCCTGCACCGAGCTGCAGCCCTGGGCTCGCACCTGCGCCTGCCGAAGCCGGCGACCCGGGGCGGGGCGCTGGGCTGCCTGTGTCCTCTACGTGTAAATGATGAAATGATTAACCCTTGAAATAGGGATGCGGTCACCCCTCCTCTATCCCGCCCCGGGATTAGGATGAAGCGAGAGAGGCGGGGTCGTGCAAGTGCAAAGTTGGATCCTGTCTATTTAAATGTTGGTATTTGATTCATCATGGACTTTTGCATTAATTTTGATTTTTTATTTTACAGTATTGCATTTTGTAAAATAGATTTTTGGCACCGCGATAAATTTTGCGTCTGAATGCCTCACTGGCCTCACCCTCATCCCGGCCCTGTCGCAACCTACAGTCAGCCTCAGCCCCAACCCTTCCTTCTAGGAATTGTGGAGACGGGACCATGATGGCAACGGCAAAAGGGACAGACGAATAGTGCAGTGAAATCCCAACATCCTCTGAGGCCAGGTGCTCAGCTGTGGCCTCTGTAAAGCCACTGAAAGCACAGTCTTGTTAAGGGACGCCCCAACCCCTCCTGACCTTAACATAAACGCATTCTGCTTCTGTACAAGTTGCTTGCTAAAATAAATGGGGGAATAAACAAAGTAGCATGGCCAATGCCATTTTAGGCTGGAAAGTCCCTACTAGGAATCCAGGGTGGGGAGGGGGTACAGGGCTAACCACAAAATTAGCTTATGGACCGCTGGCTTGCTGGCATTGGCTAGATTGTGTCAAGCACGAAAAATTGAAAAATTCCAGCCTAGCTAAAAATAAAAGCTGCGAGAGGTTTCAACTCGGGCCTGCGCTCCTCGATTGGCCTGTGTAGCCCTGGCTGCTAGAGATAAACTCTCTTCCTTTTCCTATCACCCGGTTCTTGTGGGCAAATTTCTTTTACCCGTCGGACGTTGGCCATAACATTTGGGGGCTCGTCCGGGATCCCTTAAGCCTCTCGAGAACCGTCCTTTTGGCCCTGGGACTCTTTGGATCTCTAGGGGGGAATTCCTGAAAAGCCGTGCTTCAGCCCCAGAGAGACAAACCCATGGCAGGCGCCATCGAATTTGGTGAGTCGACTCCTTGGTTGGGAAAAAGGCTCGGCTGGACGCAGCCATAGACGCCTCTTTCCCTGGATCAAACGAGATGTCGTTCTGATCCGTTGGGACCTTTTATAGGTGGTTGGGACTTTTATTTTGATTTTAAAATCTTTTATTATATGCGTATCGTTTGTTAGTTTCGGTCTGTGTTTAAGTCCTTTTGTTTGTCTAGTTTCGTTTTGTGTCGCCTGCTATAAGTGTAGCTTGGCCATTTCAACTCCACAGGACCTCGTGGGACAAGGATCCTCCAGACCAACTGTCCTCCAATGTTTTTTTATGAACTTTAACACCTTCCGAGAGAAGGCTGCGACTTTGGAGCCCCCGTGGACCTTGAAGTCTTGCGAGTCCTTTGTGAGATTGATGGCCGGCCTTCAGTGTCGCTGGCCATCAGGGGGCTCTCTTAGCCCCCCTTAGCTCAGGCTGTCGGACAGGTCATCTTCAGAAAACCCGGACACCCCGATCAGATACCTTATATTCTCATTTGGATTGAAATTCTGTCTTACCCTCCTCCTTGGTTAAAAAGATGTTTTCTAGGGTTAAAGAAAAATGCTCGCCACCGAGAGATGGCCTCCATTCTCCTGACGAAGCCGCGCCCTGATTCTGCCCCTAAGCAAGTTTTCTCAACATTTCCAGAGGAGCCGGACCTGACCTGCTGCCCTCCACCTTATGCAGAGGACCCCACCCAAGTGTCTAACCCACTTATCTCCCCCACACCCGCCCTGGGGCCTCTGATCGTCTCCAGAGTCCCACCCCACCAGTGTCCCCTCCTTCCTCTGCTTCCCCTTCTTCACCTCCCTCAACTGCTTCCCCTCCTGGACTCTTCCCCTTGCGTGAGGCCGCAGGGGCAGACAGCCCTTTTATGGCATATGTTCCCTTTACCACCAGTGATCTTTACAACTGGAAAAACCAGAACCCTTCCTTTTCCGCTGATCCACACGGTCTCATGTCTCTGCTTGAGTCTGTCTCTTATACTCACCAGCCCACCTGGGATGATGCCAACAATTGTTACAGACTCTGTTCACTTCTGAGGAACATGAACGAATCCGCCGAGAGGCCCAACGGGCTGTCCTGGGCCCCAGTGGTCTCCCCACAGGTGACCCTGAGCGATTGGCTGCTCTTTTCCCCACCCGCCGCCCCGATTGGGACCCAAATAGTAATAGAGGTAAGGAGGCTCTTGATCGGTTTTGCCAGGTCCTGTTACGAGGGGTTCGAGCTGCAGCCCGAAAACCCACAAACCTATCTAAGGTTAGTGAAGTCACCCAACAGCCCGCCCAGTCTCCAGGTGCATTCCTAGAGCACCTCCTAGAGGCAAACCGGATCTATACACCCATAGACCAGGAAGCACCTGAAAATCCAAGGGCAGTTAAGTTGGCCTTTGTAGCTCAGTCTGCACCCGATATAAAACGGAGATTGCAGAGATTAGAGGGATTTGAGGGCAAGGTTCTTTCAGAGTTGGTAGAAATAGCCCAAAAGGTTTTCGCAAATCGCGACCCACCTGAAGATAAGCAGCTTAAAAGACTAACTAAGGTTCTGCTGGCCACATAAGGCCAACCCAAGAAACCTCAGGCCCCTAAAGGAGCAGTCAACACGGGGGCGAAAAAACGCCCACCGTTGTATAAAGACCAATGTGCCTACTGTAAGGAAAAAGGCTTGCCCCAGTTACAGGAAAAGCCTGAAAAGACTAACACTGTGCTTCATTTGGGTGAAGACACAGAAGACTGATGGGGTCAGGGTTCCATGCCCCTTAACCCCCAAGATCCCAGGCTAACTCTTCAAGTAGGGGGAAAACCAGTATCATTTCTGGTGGACACAGGGGCTACATACTCTGTACTGAAAAAACCAGAATGGCCTAGCAATAAGCCCCCCATTGCCATTCAAGGGGCCACAGGGAAAACTAAATTTTGTTCATGGACAGAAGGGCGATTCACCTACTTAGTGAAGAACACAGTCACTCATTTGTTTATTTTAATCCTTGTCTGCCCAGTGCCTTTATTGGGCAGAGATTTACTCCACTAAGCTTGGAGCAACCTGCCACCCTTTTGGTGACACTGTCTTTGTCCAA